TCTATGCAAACCACGGGAGACACCCAAATCTCTTTACACGCACACTTCCAAGCCAGAAAACGGAAGCAGCCATCGCCACAGCCGAGGAGCTGAAGGCAGTACATGAGTTGCTACAGAGCAAACTCGAGACAGCACAACGTCAAAGCATTTCATATGTCAACAAGAAACGAAAAATGGCACCTCAGCTAAAGAAGGGGGATAAAGTTTATCTACGCACGAAGAATCTTCGCACGAAGCGACCAAGCAAAGGACTCGACAACGTCAAAGTCGGACCATTTTTGATTCTCAACCGAAAAGGACCAGTTACGTACACACTCGATCTTCCACCAGACGCTAGAATACATCCCAGATTCCATGTAAGCCTCTTAGAACCAGCACACCCAGATACGCCATTACAGAAAACCTTCCACTACGAAACGGAAGAAGAAAACGAATTTGAAGTCGAAAACATTGTCACACACAGAGTTGTGGACAACGGCACCGAATATCTAGTCAAATGGTTAGGATACCCAGACAGCGAAAACACATGGGAACCAGACACCAACCTCACAAACTGCCGACAACTACTTCAAGAATATAAGAAAAAGACATACCAGACAGCCTCAGCTAGAGGAAAAAACGGGAGCATCGCCAGGATTCGCGGGCGACGCGAGCGCATCTAGGGAACCAAGGGTTTCCCACATCATCGGCGAAAACCCCACCAAGGCATCCGCCACGGGGCAATTCATCGACTCTTGCGCATCCACGTCATCACCACCATCGCGCAAGGTATTCGCCAAACATATCGCCTTCTTAGCAGCGCGCTCTTCGGCCTGCTTCAAAATCTTCTTATTTCGCATCAAGCGCGAAATCACCTGAGCCAACAACTGCTCATCCTCCTCCACCTTCTTTTTATACTCTTCACGAGTCTTATCTAGGGACACCCACGACATGTTTACACATGGATGTCCTAGACGAGTACACTCCGAACACTTCAAACGCTTGCCATCGACTTCGGGCATCGCGACGCACTGACGGTTATTCGCAAAACAGTAATCGCAGGATACGGGCGCAAGGAGGCCGTTTCGACGAATCTCAAGGGCAAGGCGAAGATGTTCTTTAGACCTGGGGACGGACATCGTCAGACACAGGCGCACGGACAAGCTTGAGGACAAGCTTAGGAAGGAAGGGGATGGTGTTACGAACCTGTGGGAAGGGGCACGGCGGTTAAGTTAAGGAGCGTCGGCGGGATAGCTGACCCCTCCATATGTGACACGGGAACTTAATCACGTGACCTCCTCGGCTTGGCATGCACGAGGAAAAGTCTTGGCACACCCCTCGTACATACGCCACCGAGGAGTGCTCCTCGCGCGTCAGCCACCGAGGAATCCTCGGACTCCTCTGAGCGAGGACAGCGAGCACCATAGGTATATAGCATTAGGCAATGAGCTCCTATAGCTCATTGTGTTCAACTTCGAAATCTAAGGATTAGTACTTGATTCTCAACTCCCCGTATATTACATCGATCTACCAATCGTGCTATACACCCTCGTGTCCATCGCATCACTCTATCCCCGAGAACCAACCCAAGATCATCTTCGGACGACCTTCACATGACCACGGCTCGTGATAAGACGGGTACGGGACGGAAAAGCAAGGTTCTGTTGCCGTGATGGAATGGATAGTAGATTTTTGAGGCCAAGGTACCGTTGTATTGTCAAAAGGAAAGTGGAACGTATTGATTCTTGGCATTAGGGTCTACGTAATCGTGTATGATGTTGCAAAATCTCGGAACAGACGAACCGCCCCCAATTGCCCCCAGTGTAAAAGCATGTAACGTATCACAATCGACAGATGTGGCGTGTTGTCCATGTATCACCGTCATGAAAAGTGGTAAGCGGATGGTAGACGCGGTAGTGAAGCTACCATGACGCGTGATTTAACTTAATGACAATGTAGAATGTCATTGTAAAGGTCCGATACTTCCCGTGGCTACCCACATCATGAGGGAAGCGGGGGTGAGTAGAGGACAGGGTGTGTATGCAATTACCTTGTCTCCCGGAGTGTGACTCCTCGCTAGACAGTATTCCAGGGGTAGGTTTCCCCAAAGAAGCCAGGGGAGGGGTTTGCGTCCAGGTCTGAGGCTGCACAGATGTGAATGTGGTATCACCGTGGCTTGTGTGAGGAGCGCAGGGACACGTTCAAGTACGTTCTCGGGGAAGGGAGCTTTTTCTCGAGTTGTTGGATACGCTGGTTGGGAAAGACCAACGGAGATTTCGAAAAAGTTTGAAAGAGCAGTGTTTGCAGAACAACTCGCCACAGGGCAAGACTGAAGTTTGAGCCGAGGCTAATGTTTAGCAAGCAGGACGCTAGGTCGTCGCTTGTGGTATGTAGATTGAATGTTTAATTCGATGCCCATCGGTGAGAGCAGGCATGCGTGCGGGGGTTAAACTTTGTCATGTTCCAATTCTCGTACACCGTATGCAAGTCATAGTCGTTCTGTGCTTAGGACGAGATCCACGTAGACTACTGACAGACGCTTATGGCCCGGATTGACACTCACAAAGGGAAGTGACAAGACGTGGACGGGTTGAGGATCGTCGTGCTCAAGGAAAACCTTTGTTCCTTGTTTCACGTGGTCAACCGAGATTTGTTAGGCTTTTTCACCCGTGCTGTGGGGAAATGCCCAATTTCGATCTGCCGGCATGATCGATCGCGAGATGTTGCCGCTTTGCGAATTTCGGTGTCTGCTTCATTTTGGAATAGAGCTGGCATCAACGGCTGATTAGCCAGCAGCATGAGGAGACAAGCGCAACGGCCATGATGTAGACTGAAACTTGACCTTGCTTGAACGCGGTGGGCGTATCTGATTGTTGGAATGTCCGTCTTAGCCGAGTGGGCTGAACGTGATCTGCATCCAGAACATCGGGGCGACGGGGGACAAGACCAGGCTCGGGCTTATATATTATAGGTGTTGAGACAAAAAGTGAACACTCTTTGCCCCTGCGTTGATTGGTACATATACCTTCTCAACACACCCCCGCAATTAAGGCAGGGAGACAAAGTAATGCGAGTGGTTTGCAACGCAGGCCCTTCACGGTGCTGACTCCGGCTCTGGCCCTACTCGGCGCTGGCCTCATGCTCTGACCCTTACTCGGCTCTGGTCACTCACCCAACCAGCAGTTCCTTCGCGAACATGCTGATGCGCTGAAAGCGACCCGGGCTCATAACCTGTTGAGACAAAAAGTGAACACTCTTTGCCCCTGCGTTGATTGGTACATATACCTTCTCAACAATAGGGGTGTTTTGCCAATATTGAGACAAACGTTGAAATCCACGCCGGCCGTCGGATGCGTGGAGTCCCTTCCGTTGTCGATAAGGCGACAACGATGATGCCTGTAAGGGAATCTGACGGAACTCTTGGGAAACGTGAATGGCGCGTCCGGACCGCAGTCAGACCTTCCGCGGTAAGACATGTCGGAAGTGTGAAACAAGTTAAGAGTCTGGTGGGTCGAGGCTGCAGTACAGTATGGAATTAAAATTTGGATAGACGGGCAGCCACAGCTACTAGAGCGCGTGGTGTTTCTTGTCAATAGCGGCTGGGACCAAGGTGCGTCTTGATGGCGTGGTGCTAAGACTGAGACTAGCAAATGGGGAGTTGCCGGCTGGCAGGTACGCCGATCCTGGTGCAATTTCGCGGACGGGCTGGAGATGATCATGGTCAGCCACGGCGTCAGGGAGTAGATGAGGGGCATTTTGCTGGCTTGTCAGTAGCGGAAGGATTGATGAGAAAGTTTTACTAACTTTTCAAAGATGCCTGTCGTGCATTTGGTTGAGAGGTGGTAAGGAGGTCACAGTTGGAAAAGGAACCTTGGAAGACATTTGACGTGGTCGTGCTTCAAGCGAACTGTGCTAGGCGAAATATCGGATTCTACTTTTTACGAAAACACGGGGCCCGCGTGTTGAACCGAATTGAGCTCGGCAACGCCAGAAAAAGTAATCAGACGTGAGATGTTGACTCGTTGGGGTAGAGCGGACAGCGGTGCGTGCGATAGGAACTATGCAGTTCCAATATTTGGTTTTGTTTGCGGGCGAGAAACCGCTGTGTACACTTGCTCGAGTGTCTGGTTGCAGGAACTGGAGCTATCGCCGTCCGTGTGTTCCTACCAGTATCACAGGGGGGGGCGGAGGACATGGGCACGCGGGGGATGACACGACAGTTGGACTAGGTGCACGGAAATAGACGTCGCCGGACCCAGTAAGCAGGAGCGCAGAGGAATGGGCGGCCGTATCCATATAAAGCCTATCGGGCGAACTGGGTATTGCAGTTACAGCATCATCATACTCAGGCGTGCGATTCTGGCAGGAAAGGGGCATGAAGGATGTACAGTATGACAGGTCACAGCAGGCGGTTAGGCCAGGGGGACCGAAGCTATCGGAACCACGACCAGGATGGTACGGGTGATTTGTTCGCTTCATTGTGCGTCCCGATGTTAGCGGCTTCAGGTCGGCCATGGGCGTTTGTAGCTTTTGGATCACCTCGTCTCCCCGCACCGTGGGAATGACGCGTGTAGGCTAACGATTGGGTGCATGATAAGTTGTCGCAGCCTGTGAGCTGAGGAGGCGGGGGGCGGAGGTTGATGATGTATCGGGTGATTGCAAAGCAAAAGAGAACTTGTCTTGGAAAAAAGAACAACGCAAGGCGGCGTGCCTCTCGAATGACTGTATTGGGGAAGCAGGGGTCTTTCAGCCCCTCCCGACGCATGCAAGGTACCGGCTGCACGCTCAGGGCAGTCAGCTGATTGGGCGGGGATGCTGACGGCGCGACGCAGTGTCGAGTTCATGATGCTTTTTATCGTTACAGCTTGTTGTTTTGCCGACCAACGGCCTGCGAGACTGAGGCAGGACAAGGTAAGAAGCTTTTTGCGATGCGACGCGACGCGATTGACGTGCAGCTGCAAAAGGTGCATGAGGCTGGGGCTGGGCTGGACAGTGTGCAGTAGCAGAGGGAGGTGGCAATGATGACGGTGGTGAAGCAGAGGCGAGAGTTTGTGAGTCCCCTCCCGCCGCAGTCCCTTCTCGTGGTTGTCGCCCGGCCTCGCTGCGACGGCGCGGGTTTGGCCTCGCCGGCGCATCAATGGCTCGTCGTGGCGGCAGTCAAGTCGTCAGTCGATATCGGCTTGTTAGCATTGGGGCCCGGGCGCTGTGCCCTCTCCCTGCAGCGTCATGTCGCCAGCGGCCAGCGTCTTTGCCAGGCGCCAATGCACGGCGCGGAAATGAAGCTAGCGGACAAAGGAAGCCCCCCTGTACATGGTGAAAATGCTTGTCACTCCCCAGAGGCCCAATATGTCCATAGCTCGTGGGACCCGCTCTACCTATCTCTTCTGTCGCGAGATGTGCCTGCTGCCTGTGTTGCATTCCCTTCTTCACCACGGCCGCACTCCGCAGCGCGCGTGCACACTCTCTTTCACCCTGAACCTTTGACCGTCCTCACCGGCTATACACGCTCCTTACCTTTCGATAATCTATTGTTTTTACCAATTGCCGCGAGCCGAAGCCCATCGACACCCGCTCACCAATCGGTCCCGAACCGCTACACGCCCAGCCTTTCCTTGCAATCCGCATATTCACTTTCAACTTGAACACGTGCCCGACTTTACATTCCTTTCGTCTTTAGCGACTTTGGCCCATTACTCTGTTGTTCCTGCCCCCACTACATGTCCGCGCCTGCTCCTTCCTCCCAGTTCGAATCGCCTTGTTCGCACCTTCCCTACGCCAGATAGCTGTGCAGTGACGACCTGCCAGCGCGCAATCACACCCTACAGCTCAGCCTAGCTGTTGCCATTTGTAAGATATTACCCTGGTCCTGCCATTGCGAGGTGCCTGCACCGTGGCTGCTGCCCGGTGCGACCTAGCGTCCTGTTTACTAATACATGTCACAGCACACTATGAACCGCTGGCTGAACAGGAAAAAAGATGGCGCCGCCGACGATGCGGCTGCCGCAAAGAAGAGCAAGAAGAGCAAGAAGGGGCAAGAGGAGCCCAAACCTGAGTTCGACCTCAATGCCGTCCTCCCCAAAGCAGACGACTTCAGGACGAGCTTGATCATGCCTGGGCTTTCAACACGCTTCAGCATGTTAAGAGAGCAAGACGACCCCTCTTCCGTAATTGGCAAGGCCAGCGACGACAGCGTGCTCCAACCGAAACGGCAATCGCGTCTCCACGAGTTCGGCTTCGTTCCCGGTGGTCTCTCCGACATTGCCGAAGTCTCCTCGCTCAATGGCTCCATACGACGACCCTTTGCAAACGAGCGAACAAACTCCTTCGACAGCAGCCAGACCGATGATGGCGCAGGTAGCGTCATGACGCGAGCGAGACCTGGTGAGGGCAACATCTTGTTTGGTGGGCGGCAGAAAATCTACATGATTTCAAACACAAACAGCAAGGGCACTGGGCGAACACTCTACGACGACGATGTCAACATGTCAGCCTACCAACGTCTGCGCCAGGAAGAAAAGGAGAGGCTGAGGCAACAAGCCGAAGACGACGAGGAACGCCGTTCCGAGCCCTCGAGTCCTACCGAGCTCAGTCGTAAGAGAGAGACTTCATCATCCACAAACTCAGGCACCGTCGATGCACGCACATCTACCACCGCCACCTCGATAGCTTCCCAAGGCGCCAACTCAGTAAGCGTGACATCGCCTACCTTTTCCCCAACCATGTCATCTCCGGATCTGAGCCGAAACACCACCAAACGGAGATTATACGACAACGGACTGGACCAGCAAATTCAAGACCAACAGTCCTCGGCCATGAGCAGACTCAACTCTATACAACGAGCCCGAGCACCAACAGGACGATCCACGCCACCCATCGGTCAGGCACGGTCAGCAACCAACCTCAACGACCGTTTTGCCCGTGGCCCCGGATTCCGATCAGACAGCCCAAACGCCCTTGGCTACCCTGGAATCAGTAGAAACAACTCTGTAGAGTCTAGCCCAGTTCTTAATCGTGCACAATCACCAGCCCTGACAAGCCCTGTCATCAGTGAAAGCGACGAGGCGTATACACTAAACGCTGCCCTCCAGCCCAACGATCGAGGCAAGGCCACTGCTATGGGGGCTTTCAACAAGCCCAAGGAAGCATTCAGTGAAGAGCAATATGCCGAGCGTCTACGTCACTTGCAACAGGACCGTGAGGTGCGCGAAACGCCCACAACTCAGCTTCAGAAATCACCATCTCAGAAACCTTCACTGAGGGAACGTGCAGAACAACAAAGACGGAAGCGAGCTGAAAGTGACGCCAAATCACGAGAACGGTCGGAATCGCCTGCTGGGCACCAGCCGGCATCCTCTGCTTTCTCAAGATTCCAAACTGCTGCTAGTCAAATGAGGACCACAGGCCCAGGGACGCCAACATCACCACCAACACCGCCTCCAACGCAGAAATTGCCTGCAGTTCCATCTCATGGCAGACAATCCCCGGATGACGACAGTAAATCAACCTTCTTGGCCTCGCCAGATGACAGTGACGATGAGGAAGAAAGGGTTAGGCCACCGATCCCTACCCGGAGATATGAGAACCTTCCAGTAGCAACTGGACCCGCGCCTTCCATGTTCGAACACCCTGCTTTCCGCTCCCGGACGACGTCAGATGAAGAGGTGCATCGAAGTGATCCTGCTGTTTACAGTCCATTGTCACCTCAAGATTCAGCTCATGCCAATGATTCACGGAAACCGAGCGGTATGGATGTAGATTCCCCCACCCTTGG